GAACGACACGAACGTTGATAGAAAGGTTGAAAGTTTGCCTGCTGTTGAAACAACAAACTGTACTTCTTCAACTACAACAGAAAAAATTGCTGTTCAAGGAAGCAGCGGTCCCTCACTTTTAAGAGTGAGAAATTTGTGGGAGTTAACAGGTCATAAGTCGTAAATAAATGTAGTTTTTATTTTATTTAAAATAGGAAAAATTGCACTCTTAAAACCTTTTATGATCACACTGTTATAAGATTACATTAACGATTATATTGGAATAGTAGTGTTCGAAGAAAAAATTGTTAAGTTCTACATATTAATTAAAATAGAACATTGGCTTGTATGTACATAAATATGTGAATGTAAAGTGATGTCTCATTATTACACTTAAGTTGTTTATAAATATAAAATAGGCACTAGAGTGGATACATTTAAGAATAAACTGAAAAACAAATGTGTTAGGTGGTTCTTTCTTCCGTATTGATTTATTAAGTTAAAGTGTAACAGTTATTAATAGGCATCAATAACAAAAAAAGCAGAGACAGGAAATAGCGTGTACAGGAAATCAATAACAATCAATAATTTTAATTCAGTTATAGCTTCTGCTTAAGTTGCCCTGGCACCTTCACCGAAATTTACAATAAATTTTGAAATGTGTATTTTCATGAGCGGCCTATTTTTCGGCATTTAAACGATAGTTTAGAATAAAAATTAATCAAAAACACATACACATTTTTAGAAGTTATAATTAAAGATGTGAAAGGATTCACAACCAAATTTTATTATTATTAATTATTTCAATTTTGTGGTTCTCGAATAGTATTAAGGTTTTCTTTGTAGGTGCATTATTATTAGTGTCGCTGTATGTTGGGTTGTCTATAAATTGTAGCTTAAATATAAAAACCACCGTTTTCACAAATACATTAACTAAGTAAACTAAATCTCTCATTTTTAAAATTTTTATTGAGGTGTAAAATGGTAACCGATTACTTCTGTCTGCACAGTTATTGTATATGGATCCATCAACAACTGTTATTAGATTGTGATAATCTCAGCCCCTGTAATAAACGAGAATTTTAATTTTCAAAATTGGCAAATGGTAAAAGCTCGAAACTGTTAGCGCCTTTACTTTCACTGGTCGAAATTCATTTTTGTGAACAATTTGTTTAATCATTTTCCCAGTGTTAGAAATTGTTTAAAAAATTTAATTCAAAGAAATTTGTTTATAAAATAATAGGCAACACATCATACACTGCAGCATAGGCAATTGCATATCCAAACTACGTAAAATGTATAACAATTTTGAAAATTAAGTTTCTCTTTCACTATAGGGACTAAGATTATCTTTTAGAGGACGTGGAACGAGCCCCACCCAAGGACAATAAGGACAGAAGTAACCGGTGAGCATTTTGCACCCCTTCTTTTTAAAGTCTTCTGTTTTTTACTTTTATTTCAATTAAGCAATATTGAACGCTCAGTTTTTCCCTTATTATAGGGTCTAAGACTGTCATAATCACATGAGGGACGTAGAAAGAGCCCCACGCAAGGGCAATATGGACATTAGTAGCCGGTGAGCATTTTGCACCCTTTATTTTTAAAGTCTTCTGTTTTTTACTTTTATTTAAATTAAGCAATATTGAAAGCTTAGTTTCTCCCTTACCATAGGGTCTAAAATTGTACAAATGACATGAGGGACATAGAGAGAGCTCCACACAAGGAAAATGTGGATCGAAGCAACTGGTGAGCATTTTACAACCCTTACTCTTAAAATCCTCTTTTTGCCTCTATTTTAACTAGTTCTTCCCACTTATCAGTTACGGTAAGCTCGAAACTGTTACCGCCATTGCTTCCAGTGGTCGAAATTCACTTTTGTGAACAATTTGTTTAATAATTTTCCTAGTGTTAGAAATGGTTTAAAAAATTTAATTCAAAGGAATTCGTTTACAAAATGGTACGCAACACATCGTACACTGCAGAATAGGCAATTGCATATCCAAACTACGTAAAATGTATAACAATTTTGAAAGTTCAGTTTCTCTTTCACTATAGGGCCTAAGATTATCTTTTAGAGGACGTGGAAGGAGCCTCACACATGGACAATAAGGGCAGTGGTCACCGGTGAGCATTTTGCACCCCTTCTTTTTAAAGTCTTCTGCTTTTTACTTTTATTTTAATTAAGCAATATTGAAAGCTTAGTTTCTCCCTTACTATAGGGTCTAAGACTGTCATAATCTCATGAGCGATGTAGAAAGAGTCCTACGTGAGGATAATATGGGCAGAAATAATATGTGGGCATTTTGCACCCGTTATTTTTAAAATCTTCTTGTTTTTACTTTTATTTTAAGTAAGCAATATTGAAAGCTTAGTTTCTCCCTTACTATAGGGTCTAAGACTGTCATAATCACATGAGGGATGTAGAAAGAGCCCTACGTGAGGACAATATGGACAATTTACGTGTAAGTGAAATAAATTGTACCAAATGTAATTACACAGTTAATAAATTAAATAATAAATAAAACGTAATGTACAAGTCGTTTAATTTTATTATTNCCGGACACCGTTATTTTAGATTTTGTGTTGAGCACTTCGAAAATTTGCGATTTTGTATTAGGAGAGCATAAGTCGCATAAGGTCGTTTCCCGCGGTTTCTCTTTTAACTTAGTGTTATTATTATTTTTTAATGGACATGAATGTAAGGTGCGTTCATTTTGATGATCTGAAGATTGTGAATCTATTTTAAAATGATCCAAACATAAATATTGACCTTAATTCAAGCAATAAAGACAAAATACATATCACAGCGGTATTTTATAGCACATGGTTTATGATTTTTCTGTAAACTATTGAAAAATTTAAGGAAAAATATAAACAATGTAAATGATAAAGTTTTAACATTATTGAACACAACTTACTTGACGTTTAGTTTATCATAGGTTATGTAATAGGTAATGTTTACGTTTTCCAGTGTAATTTAAAAGAAAATTGTGAAATTTTGTCTTTATTCCTCATTTACGCAATTGTTACCTAGTATTATAGATAAATAATAATCAAGTGAAAAGTTTAAACTAATTACAACCGTTTTTCGGAGTATTGTGGGCTATACTTTGTAAAGTTCCTGCACAAGTTCAACTTCTACCAATTTTACATCAAGAATACAGTTGAAAAATGTTATACTCCCGATTACACTTCTGCATAGGATAGGACTGCAAATCTACGATAAGAACAGAAGTAACCGGTGAGCATTTTGCACCCCTTATTTTTAGTCTTCTTTTTTTTACTTTTATTTTAAATTAACACTCTTGAAAGTTCAATTTCTACCTTATTATAGATGCAAAGATTCTCAAAATCTTTCAAAGGACGTGGAAGGAGCCCTACGCAAAGACAATAAGGGCAGAAGTAACCGGTGAGCATTTTGCACGCCACATTTTTAAAGTCTTCTTGTTTTTACTTTTATTTTAATTATGCAATATTGAAAGTTTAGTTTCTCCCTTACTGTAGCGTCTAAGACTGTCATAATGACATGAGGGACGTAGAAAGAGCCCTACGCAAGGACAATATGGACAGAAATAACCAGTGAGCATTTTGAACCCCTTATTTTTACAATCTTCTTTCTTTTACTTTTATTTTAATTAAGCAATATTGAATGTTTAGTTTCTCCTGTATTATAGGGGCGAAGACTCTCAAAATATATCAGGCGACATGAAAGAAGCCCCAAGTAGCCAATAAGAACAGAAGTAACCGGTGAGCATTTTGCACCCCTTATTTTTAAAATATTCTTGTTTTTACTTTTATTTTAATTAAGCAATATTTAGTGTCTCCCTTATTATAGGGTCTAAGACTGTCATAATCACATGAGGGACGTAGAAAGAGCCTCACGCAAGGACAATATGGTCAGAAACACCGGTGAGCATTTTGCACCCTTCACATTTAAAATCTTCTTGTTTTTACTTTTATTTTAATT